GAGAGAGAGAGAGAGAGAGAGACTTGTAGTAGCAGAGAACAAAGCAAAGACAGATCATAAGAAGACAAATTATTTTGGCTGTTTCGTGAGTTCATATCTCGGAGGGAAAGAGGATAGATGAACAATGAATGTTTGTTCAGGCATATACCATTCAACAGAGGTAACCCAAGCTATGCATCAGCAATTGACGTAAATTTAGGGTGATCGTGTTTACGAGGATTAACTTCCATAGCGAGAATATTAGTTCTATGGTTTAATAATAATTCGAACTTCAATTATAAAACACATAGACCCCTCAGGTATGACATATTACAAAGACTTCCCCTGTCAGTCATAATCAACTAACACAACTGACAGAAGTTTTAAAAAGATTATTTTGCCCTTATTCAAAATAAATAAAACTAGCCTAGACCAAACCCAACCCAAAACCCAGACCCGACCCTTATTTTGCCCTTGCATCAACCCCTCCACCTCTCACCTCTCTGTCTCTCTCTCTTTGTTCTATCGCTAACTGCCCACCACCTTAGAACCTCTCCTCTTTATCTCTCTCCATTGCCCACCACCGACCATTCTCTCTTTCTCTCTGTGTGTGTTCTATTGCTAACCGCCCCTTGCTCGCTAGGTAAACGGTGGCGATGAGAGGAGGGTGGTGGTGGCTGGGTAAACAGTGGCGACGAGAGGAAGAGGGTGGTGGATGGGTAAACCATCACCCATCACAAATATATATTTCCTCTCTTCTCTCTACTACACCCAAACCCAGATCCAAAAATCCCCCAAAATCGAAATGCCCTTGAATATGAGAAGGTGGTGGCTGGGTTGGTGAATTCTCATACATAAGGAGATTTCTATTTTGGGGGATTTTTGGATCTGTGTTTGGGTGTAGTAGAGAGAAGAGAGGAAATGCATATTTGTGATGGGTGATGGTAATGGTGTTGACGGTGGTTGTGGCTCTGGTGTGGCAGTGTTGTAGTGGTGGTTCTGGCGCAGGTGGTACTATGGTAGAAGGAGAGAGGAAAGTTGGTGATGGTTGTGGCTCTAGTGTGGCGGTGTTGTGGTGGTGGTTTTGGGTTGTGGCTCTGATGTGGCGGTGTTGTAATGGTGGTTCTGGGCTTTGGCTCTGGTGGTGGTTCTGGCGCTGACGGTGCTGTGGTAAAAGGAGAGAGGAAAGTTAGTGGTGGCTGTGGGTTTGGGTATTTGGGGTTTTAATTGAAAATTAAAAATTATTAATTTTTATTGGATTTTTGTTGAAATAGTGGTAGGGAAATTCGGGAATTTTATATAAAAGAGATACTGATGTCATCAAATTTTAATGATATGTCTAATGGATCTTAACAACAAGGTTACTTTATATTACACGCACACATACTTTAAGGGCTTTTCGTGTAATTTTTCAAACATGAGAGGTCTATTTGTTCAAGTGATAAATCTTAGAGGGTCCGAATGTAATTTATACAAATAAATTTGTAGGTCCGGAGAGAGGGGGAGGTGAGAGACAGAAAAATGAAAAGTAAAATTGATAATTAAATTTTTTAATTTAAGAAAAAAATTTATTTATTTTATAACACGTGTACAATTACCGCGTGCCCTTAGAATAAACGAATTATGTTATATTTACAATTTGTTTATAAGTTGGAGATGGTTAAATACAACCCTAAAAAGAATAGGAGGTGAAGTGAAACCAATAATTAATGAGTCTTTAGTCCAATAATATTCTTTGACTTGTAAAGACTTTGTTTTCTTTTTAGGGTTCAAGTCTCCCTTCTCCTTTCTCTTCCCCAAAATAAATTTAAAAAAAAAAAAAGTGAAACCAAGGCTTAGTTCATGAAAATATTTTGTTTTTACCCTATTTATTACTCTCATTAATTTATCATTTCATTTTAAATCACGAGGTGCCAAATTGGGTTTGTTAACATGTTGTGTTCTAAGTCGACGCCCTAACTAATTAAGGTGGCTATCATGTTTGATAATTTTCTATAGGATTTATGACAATAAATGCTTTGAATCTAATATCATGCTATGGGAGCAAACGGAGTCTTCAAAATAATTTAAAAACAAAAAAACCTCAAGACCATGATCAAATGCGGTAATGATGCAAGTGTGGACAATATAGTCAACAAATTAGGGAGCATTTGACAAGAATTTCTTCATTACTTTGTATAAAAATGACAAATGAACGGTCTCAAAAGATTCTCACTTTCTATCACCTGCTGTACTAACAACTACTTCCAAACTATTACACCCACCAACAAAACCAATTCCAAACCCACCTAGAAAATTTAGAACTATATGATTCTAAACTATTATTCACAAACTTTCTGGGGTAGAAAATGGAAAAAAACAAATATATTCAAACTCAAAGATGCTCAATAGTAGTGTCACCAGAACTCTTAATGCTTATTATCAGCCTCTCTTCTTCTGGTAACCCGTATGTAGCAGTAAACAGCTGCAAAAATAGCAGTGACAAGTCCGCCAATGATCACACCCCCACCAGCCACTGACTTATCAGAGGAGTGATGCTTTCCCATCCTTCTGTTCTCTGGTGCTTCAGCTATACTTGACGCTCTCTCCTCCTCTGATGAGGATGATGAAGCCTCTGGACCACCACTTGATACAGGCGGATCTGCTGTTCTAATCACCATCTTTTCCGACTGAAGAAAGCTTCGAACCCGCAGTTTTGGTGGGTATGGTTCTGAACTTTCAGATCTAACAGCCATTGTTCGGAAAACCAAGATCTGAGCTAGAATGAAGCAAGCCAAGACAAACCGACCCATTTTGAGATAATGCAAGAAATAGAGTTCTAAGAACTTTACTGATCTTTGGTAGTCTTGGAGATCTGGTATGTATCTGCTGTGTAAGATGTGGTTTTCAAGTATTTATAAAGGAGACGAGAGAAAGTGGAGAGTCAAAGTATTGTGAGCTGCGAATGATCGTGTGGTGTGAAGATTGGGAGAAGTTTCATGGTTCACTTGTTGCGGTTGTGGGGTCATACGTAGGAGAGATAGAAAGTTGGTGACAGGTGGGAATGACTTCGGGTTTGTAACTGGACAGGTGAAGAACTGTAACGGCGGCACCTTCCTGTTTGGTTACACTTTACACCGTGATAAAGGAAAACAACTGGATTCTGTCTTGGGTTTCTAGATCTTTCCCATTCCGCCTCGTGTCTACTTCTTTGCCGATCTTTTAATTTAAGGAAAAAAAAAATGAGTAATGTTGTTGACAGATAATTTGGAAATTTAATAACTGTGATTATTAAATTATTGAACAATGTTATTAGAATTTATTTTCTCCGTTTCTAAATATTTTTTGTTTTACACAAATTTTTTTATTTCATAATATCTGTCGTTTAATGAAACCAAAGTATAATTAATATTTNAACGGTCTCAAAAGATTCTCACTTTCTATCACCTGCTGTACTAACAACTACTTCCAAACTATTACACCCACCAACAAAACCAATTCCAAACCCACCTAGAAAATTTAGAACTATATGATTCTAAACTATTATTCACAAACTTTCTGGGGTAGAAAATGGAAAAAAACAAATATATTCAAACTCAAAGATGCTCAATAGTAGTGTCACCAGAACTCTTAATGCTTATTATCAGCCTCTCTTCTTCTGGTAACCCGTATGTAGCAGTAAACAGCTGCAAAAATAGCAGTGACAAGTCAGCCAATGATCACACCCCCACCAGCCACTGACTTATCAGAGGAGTGATGCTTTCCCATCCTTCTGTTCTCTGGTGCTTCAGCTATACTTGACGCTCTCTCCTCCTCTGATGAGGATGATGAAGCCTCTGGACCACCACTTGATACAGGCGGATCTGCTGTTCTAATCACCATCTTTTCCGACTGAAGAAAGCTTCGAACCCGCAGTTTTGGTGGGTATGGTTCTGAACTTTCAGATCTAACAGCCATTGTTCGGAAAACCAAGATCTGAGCTAGAATGAAGCAAGCCAAGACAAACCGACCCATTTTGAGATAATGCAAGAAATAGAGTTCTAAGAACTTTACTGATCTTTGGTAGTCTTGGAGATCTGGTATGTATCTGCTGTGTAAGATGTGGTTTTCAAGTATTTATAAAGGAGACGAGAGAAAGTGGAGAGTCAAAGTATTGTGAGCTGCGAATGATCGTGTGGTGTGAAGATTGGGAGAAGTTTCATGGTTCACTTGTTGCGGTTGTGGGGTCATACGTAGGAGAGATAGAAAGTTGGTGACAGGTGGGAATGACTTCGGGTTTGTAACTGGACAGGTGAAGAACTGTAACGGCGGCACCTTCCTGTTTGGTTACACTTTACACCGTGATAAAGGAAAACAACTGGATTCTGTCTTGGGTTTCTAGATCTTTCCCATTCCGCCTCGTGTCTACTTCTTTGCCGATCTTTTAATTTAAGGAAAAAAAAAATGAGTAATGTTGTTGACAGATAATTTGGAAATTTAATAACTGTGATTATTAAATTATTGAACAATGTTATTAGAATTTATTTTCTCCGTTTCTAAATATTTTTTGTTTTACACAAATTTTTTTATTTCATAATATCTGTCGTTTAATGAAACCAAAGTATAATTAATATTTTTCTTTTAATTTACCCTTATCTCTATTTTCTAATAAATGTTTAATAAATTAAGTATAGGTTAGGTGTCTTTCATATTTATTTTTTTTCCAATACGTATTAAATAAGAGTATTTTAGTATTATACAATTATTTTTAACTCATATTAGAGCTATTTAATAGTTTCCTTAATTGGTGTACAAAAATCTTAATCGACGGATATTTAGAAACAGATGGAATAATTTATTAACATAATTTGTTGACTTAATTCATTGTGATTTTTGAAATTTAGTATTAATCCAATGATCTCTATGAAGTCAAATTATTATGCTAGTAAATTATGTCAAATTTTTATGTTTAAATAACATCACTCAGAGATTATTATTGGGTCATAACATTAAATTATTACTGGATCCCAACACTATCAATTTAATAGTTGTAATGTATTAAGTCTCTAAATTATGTCTCAATAGCATTAGTAAAAAAATAATAATAATCTCCCTTAATTTGATATGGATATGGATCGAAAAAAGTTTTTAAATTTTTTTTATCTAAATTTAAATTTAGGTTTAAAAAATTGTAAGGATTGGAGATGCTTTTAGACCATTTCCAAAAAAGTAAAAAAANAACAGATGGAATAATTTATTAACATAATTTGTTGACTTAATTCATTGTGATTTTTGAAATTTAGTATTAATCCAATGATCTCTATGAAGCCAAATTATTATGCTAGTAAATTATGTCAAATTTTTATGTTTAAATAACATCACTCAGAGATTATTATTGGGTCATAACATTAAATTATTACTGGATCCCAACACTATCAATTTAATAGTTGTAATGTATTAAGTCTCTAAATTATGTCTCAATAGCATTAGTAAAAAAATAATAATAATCTCCCTTAATTTGATATGGATATGGATCGAAAAAAGTTTTTAAATTTTTTTTATCTAAATTTAAATTTAGGTTTAAAAAATTGTAAGGATTGGAGATGCTTTTAGACCATTTCCAAAAAAGTAAAAAAAAAAAAGTAAAAAACTAAAAAATTTAATTTGGTATAAACTTTTTCAATAGAGAAACTCAAATTTAAAGGAAGACAAACTCAAATTTAAATGAGAATAAATAAAAATTTAAAAGAGAGTAAAATCTGACTATTGGATCTTTAAAGGAAGTGAAATCTAACCATTAAACATTTTGATATAAATTTGAATCTCCGTTGATTTGAATAAACAAATAAATCTCTATTTATTTGATGTGGTTATGGATTTAACATAGATAAAGATTTTTAAGAGTTTTTTTAACCTAAATTTAAATTTGAATTTAAAAAAAAAATAAGGATGAGAGATTCACCTAACTTTTACCCAAATTTAAAAGATCATAAATTCAAATTTAAACAAAACTAATTTTAAATTTAAATAAGTGTGAAATATGACTATTAAATTTTTAAAAGATAATAAAATTTGATCATTAAAGATTTGAATAAAAATTCTAATTTCCTCTAATTTGAGATGAGTTTGAGTAAAATATTGATATTTATTTTTAACCTGTTTTTACTCAAATTTATATTTTGACTCAAGATTTGAGCAAGGGTGAAGATGCTTGAGCATCTACGGTCCTTATCTTTTTTTGTACCCAAATTTAAATTTGGATAAAAATGATCTAAAATACTTCTGTAAGTGCATCTCCAACCATAACTCAAATTTTAATAAAAAGTTTTATTTGAAATAGAAAACTTCAATAAATGAACTCAAATATATAATCAAATCTTTTAAAAAATACCCTTACCATCCCAAAGCTTAATTTTTAAATTTTTTTTCACCAAAACTTTTTATTCTTCTCATTTTCTTGTCTTCATTCCCTCCACAATACTAAAATAGAAAAGAAAAGGCTCCCCAATATTAAAAACCTATTTTTTATGAACTTCACCAATACTAATCAAAAGAAAAATCAGAAATAACAATCGCTTTTACAATATTTATTCAATATCAACAAACAATATTTCTTATCTTCAATTTTGTCTAAACCAACTTCTACCCAAAGCAATCCCGTATGAGAGACAAGTAAGAGAGAGAGGAGCAAGTGAAAGATATAGCAAAAGTTACCCTCAAAGAATAAAGGCAAGGAGAGGCGATGTGATCAACAACGATGACAGCGACTTTGAAGATAAAGGTAAGAGAGACAAGAACTTGTTCTATCCAATGAGTCTTTTGGGTTTAAATTAGATAAAAAGTTACTGTTGAAAATTTGATGTATGATTTGAGTCTCCTTCAATTTGGATCAAAGTAAATTTTGTCTTGATTTGATATAAAGTTTTGTTTCAAGGTTAGAGAAATTTTTTAGGTCATTTTAACTTAAATTTAAATTTAGGTCTAGATTTGAGTTAAAGTTGAAGATGCTCTAATGCTAGACTCATACCTATCCAAATGAAGGGAAACTTTTGCTTAAACCCAAATTAAGGGAGACTCTTTTTTATACCCAAATCTTGAATGGTGATATTTCACCATCTTTTAAAGATTCGATGATCATATTTTGCCCTATTTTAAATTTGGATTTCTATTCCTTTAAATTTGATTTTCTCCATTGGAGTGGTTTATAAAATATCAAGCTTATCCTAAAAAATTGTCTTAATTTGTTGGTATAATAATGTGTGAGTGACATGATTCAATAATATTATTGTGACTGTAATTCTTAGACTATTTAATTGGGAGTTCATCACTTGATACATCATTAAGGTCAATTTTGTTATGTCTCAATAGCATTAGTCTTTTTATATTACACCCAAAATTATATGTCAATTTGTTTTGTTGAATAATTTTTTTGCTATATTTATTATATATTTTTGTTCTATACAAATTTGTTTCCCAAGTATTTAATTTTGAATGTATCACATACAAAAATTTACACCTAATTTACTAAACGGACTACAGTACTATCTTTTTGTATAATTGAGGGTACAATATAAAAATTTTAATCTTTCAAGATATTATTTTAAATTCTAAAAATCTTTTAGGGTACAAAGTATCATTTGTCCTAATGCAAAATATATCTTTTGACCTAGGAGACTTGGAGAATATAAAAATGTATTATTTTAATTCTATATTATAAAGTTGGATTCTCATAGGTTTTGGGAACAATAATGTCTTATAATATAAATAGTTTGGAATCAAATAAAACATATCAACTCATGGCCGTAATAATAGTGAATTATCCAAAATGGGTGGTTGAACTTGAGCATTCTTAAATAATGTTCATTTCCACTCCAAGTGGCTAATTAAAAACCTGAACGGTGAATTCATGTTTTGTGGTATTTTCGTGCATAAGAGATTTTATGTGGTTGTAAAAACTCAAATTACATAGAGAACGAATAAGAGTGACCAAGAGTGTTCAGTTGGTACGAGACCAGTGCCCTCCGATCAAAATAGTTTTTCTTCTAATCTTTCTTGTAAGTGGTCATGAGAACTAGTTGGCCATCCGACCTATAATTTGCTTAAACCTTAACCATGCATTTTGATTTTAGTTGACTCCAAAATATCAAAGATGTGATCGATCTAGCTAATTGCTAATTGCTTATTGCTAATAGCTAAGTATAGGTGATTGAAAGAATTGGTTCACGTACCTATATGCTATAAGTTGGTATGACCAGTCAAAATCACTGATCAAATGCATGGCTGGCTAAGAGGGGATCATAACCCATCCAATTTTAATGGCTCAATGCTCATCGATGAGCATATTTTACCAAACCATAGATCCTAATCTTATCAATAAATGCTAGTTGATTTTGATGATACCAAAATCAATCTGGATACCACCTGTAATGGGTCCAATTACGGTACTAAAATACCATTTTTCGGTATTATATCTTTAACTTTCCTCCAATAAAATTATGAAACTATGATTTATTGCTAAATGGTTGAAAATTATCTAAACCAAAAGGAACGATCGAAGATAAATTTTGATACAGTATCAATTACCTTTTATTAGGGGTGGTAATCGTATCGTGTTATATTATTTTCAGGTTTATGTCAAGTACTATTTAACTCTAATCTAACCCGTTTAATTAATCTTGTCGACCTATTTATTTTTGCATTGTATTTATATTGACTCATATTACCCGTAAATAAAAAGTTTAACGTTCAATTTTAAGTCTAAATGTTATTATCACTTATTCGAACTTATGCTCATACTTTTTTTATAAACTAAAAATTAACTTAATAAATATAATACTAAAAACAAGTAAAATTTAATTAGGTCACTACTTGATAAAATATAATAAAAAATTAATATTTTATTCTTATAATACTACTTTATCATGTCAATTGTGTATTATTCATGTTTAACATAAATTCAACTCATTTCCAGTTGATGTCTCAATATCGTGTTAGAAAAGTTAAAGAGTGTTTAAAAAAAAAAAAGGATTTTATAT